GTATGCCACCCCGCTTGCGTTCATTAGAGGGAACGCTGTCCTCCACAGCAGGAGTCCCTCCACTTGTCTAACTGGCTTATACCTCCTGTTGTGGCATAGGGTGTTTCTTCCCTGACTTTTCAGGACAGCAACTGAGAAATCACAAGGCTTTTAGACACTGCTTTCCAGTACAAAAGTACTTAAAGGAGCAACTGCTTAGGACTTTAATATGAAACACTTAGCATAAAAACATAACCCCCTCTAAGAAGTAATCTGCATTTAACAGCATGATCCATACAGCCCAAGACTATGAACACGAGTTACAACTGGACCATTTTCTCTCTCTTTATTGCTCTCCCCTTGAGACAGTCCCTCACTAACATACACTCAATTGCATAGCTCCTAGAAAAGTCAGTGTGTAACACCACTGGTACCTGTTTTCTGTTTGTGTGAGAGGCATTTCTCTCTTAAACATGGTAGTCCTTTCTATCTTATGATGTTTTTTTTTCAAAATGTTGCTATTAAGGGCAAAATAAAACAAACCAAAAAAAACTCTCATCAGATGACATATGCCCACTAAATCTTTTCACTGATTTCCAGCTAGTCACACCCATGCATCATATTCCAATTGCTTAGCATTTCTGAGGTTAAGCAAGATGTAGCTATTACTAAAAGACATTTGTCCCTTTCCTCTTTTTCCCTACTTTCAGTAACCCTTATGATAACCTCCATGGCCTCAGACTGTTGAACGCTTTCTGCGCTTTGCTAACCTGCTTCTTTTCTCGAGGTACTCTTCCTTCAAAGCCGTGAAACAAGTCATGACACAACTTGTCAGACTTTTTTTAGTGTTCTAAATGCATTTTTACAAAACAAAAGTAACTTGCTCAGGCACCGTAGAATGTTCTGTAAAAAACTATCAGACTTCTGTTCAGGGCAGTTGCTTTTCTTTTCTTCTGCTGCATATCACAGTGCCATCCCTTGCCAGTTCATTTCTGCCCTTATCACCAGTGGTAACAGTCTAGTTCACGAACTTCACTGAAAGCAACAGAACCATCGGGGGATGAAAATATTACTTGCTGCAGAATAAGGGTGGCAAAATTAGCACAACAGACTTGTCACGATGGCATTTTTTCACTGCTGTAGGTCAGATCACTCTAAGCAACATGGTGTAGCTGAAGGTGTCCCTGCTCACTGCAGGAGGGTTGGACTAGATGGGGTTTAGAGGTCCCTTCCAACCCAAATCATTCTATGGTTCTGTCCCTGTAGTGATCCATGAGGGGGGTCTGGAACAGCATCACTTGAAGGCTGCAGTGCCATTCTGTTTTTGTAACACCACCTTTGTTTTTCAAACAGGACTCGGAGGAACCAAGTACATCTCCTTTGAAGAACGGCAGTGGCATAATGATTGCTTCAACTGTAAGAAGTGCTCTCTCTCATTAGTGGGTCGCGGCTTCCTCACGGAAAGAGATGACATCCTTTGTCCTGAATGTGGGAAGGATATTTAAAGCTCAAAATAAGAGGTGGGGAGAGGGGAGGAAAGGCGTGATTGCAACATATAGTCTGAAATACATGGATGTTCGGAACTAGCTTTGCCACTCTCTGCTTTGCTGTACTATTAACATCACTTAACCTTTTCCTTACAACTCTCCAAATCTGGAGGGAAAACAACTGCAAAATCTCTACTAGTGGTGTTGGTGTTTAAGACTTCCACAGCTAACTAAAACTAATGCAAAGCCTGAGATGTAAAACCATTTGGGTGTTACTGACATAACATACTCTCTTTGTTTTTCTTTTTCCTTCCACTAAACACTCCAGTTCCAAGCAAGTGATATAGTTCAAGGATTACAATGGCCACACACAATACTCATAGATGGGTATTTGGGGTGAAACCCTCAGGCCACTGAAAGCGATGGCAAACACCATTCAGTTTCAGTAAGGCCATGGTCTCGCCTCAGTGTTCTTGAGCTATGTGACTAGCGCGTGCTGTCAGGTGTGTAGAAAGACTGCGAAGGTAGAGGGTGTTTCGATGTACAAGGATTTGTGCCATGCCATAAAGAGATAATGACACAAAACAGTTGAAGTGGGAGTGCTTCGTAACGGGTACATGGTTTATTGCATGACTAGCTGATCATTGTGTGAAGTACAAGTTCTGATGGACAGTGTCAGTATTACAGTGAGTCACATTACACTGCACGTTGTATTTTTCAAAATAAAGTCATTTAAAACAAAATTGTGATTGTTCTTTAACTGTATTCATATATTAGATATTTACAAATAAAATGCTTTTGCAGTCTGAAGAAACAACTTAAGAGCCATACCAACACAACCCTTTTTGCACCCAACCATTATGAAAGCGTGGAGTCTAGACAATCCTCAAATGGGCCCTGCTGATACAACAGTAATTTTCTAACTGAAATAGGTGGGAAAATTATCAGCAAAACTGAACTGTGAATCGACTGCAGTTGACAAAACTGTGTCCACAGCCTCTAAACTCAAAACCAAAGTACTATTGTTCTCAGCAAGCAAGGAGGTGAAGACAACGCAAAAGACATCTTCGTGAAAGTCAGAAGTTTAACTCCTGTACTAGAGCATGCTTTAATTGTTTTCTGTATTGCAACATGCAATACCCTTTACTCTAGCATAATTTCTGCTACGTTTGCTACGAAGGCAACTGTCAGCAACAGCATGCTGGCAGGGCAATAGAACCAAAGAGCAAACAACGCAAAGGAAGATAACCCTCTTCCCAAAGCAAACTTCAAGAAATATGGCCATGTTATGCCACGTGCGATGCTGGTACACCTTCCAGGCGGAATTAATTTGCATCCAACAAAAGGAGGAAGGTAACATATCACACTTCCAACAGGAATCTTCAGATGTGGAAAGAAGAATTAGGAATGTACTTACTCTGTGTGTAACTGGTTAGGGCAAGTTTGCTCCCAGTTCCTGCCACCACTCTTGAGTTGGTCTCTTTTTGTACCAAGTGCTCACACATCATTCCTCTCTCATTAATTCCACACGCTAAATAGGTGCATCAGATCAGACTCGGTTTATTGTACACCATTGGAAGAACGTGGCTGGCTGACAGTTTGGAGTGCGCACTGTGCCAATCTGATCTCACTGGAAGACTAAATTCTATGCTTTGGTGACTTCGTTCTATGGTGAAGACTGTACTAAATAATAGCCACAAAAATCGCTTTTATCCACACCTCCCAAAGGAGGGCAAGCACCTCACTCTCTCCTCTGGGGTCTGGCAATCCCCCAGGCAGCTCTGCTCCGACACTCTGCTGAGGGAAGAAGGGTTACTATTAGCTAAGGGAGGAGTGGAGGTTTGCAAGAGCAGCACGGCTTGCACCTTGCCCCACAAGCACTACAACAGATGGCAAAACTGCCCCAGCTCTGGGGAAAGGTAGGTGAAATGCGGCAAAGCTGGAAAGCACACCAGCCTGAAAACAAGACCGTTACCATGCAATAGCAGGAGCATCCTAATATTCCGGTACAGTTCTGTGTATCACTCCTTAACCAGCACACACGCGCTCCTAGCAACTGAAACTACAACAAAATACGGTTTCTATATTTTCTGCATATAGCCAAGACTCTAAACTGCTGCCAAGCAGCCACCCACAAAACAGAACTCCTACCAGACTGTTACACAGTGCAAGGACCGGCACTTCACATGATACTAACTGCTGCTACAACTCCGAAGTAGCTACTGAGCCTTTCACCCTGTAAGCTTTTTCTTCAGGTCTAACCACCTCAAGTCCACTGAGATGTAACCACATAAAAGGAATAAGCTTAATTACATCACAAAAAAAAGTCAGCACTATTTTGTTTGCTTATAACTGAATTTATTTAAATAGGGTAAGGCTACTTAAAAGACAACTCTTTACATACAAAACGTACATTACGTTAAAGTTTGCTGTACTCAAGTACAAAAACTGCACGTGTTTAGTAAAAGGGAAACAGCACACGGTATTTCAAAACACACATTCTTACCATTTTACAGCATTCGAGAAGTGCCCTGTATGTCATAACAGTGAATGGAGAACTCCTGTCAGTAACGAATTAAGCTACAGTTTCTGGTTTCAGTATTAATCAATGGTAAAAATGTAAACAAGCTTTCCGATCACTACTGACAGCTGCTTTTAATGGGTTAACTAAGTGGATTCAGAAGTTGATTCTTTTTTTGTTTTACCAAGTCTGAAAGCATTATTATTACTTACCATCCATATCTAAAATGAATCTAAATTGGCTTCACACTAAGCCACTGAAATTTAATAAAAATGTTTCCATCGACTTAACTTGATTTCTGCCTTATAAGGCACTACCAGTAATCCAGATGAAACACCGTATTTCATAGAAAACCAACAGTCATTCTTAAATTATCAAAGGAAAAACAGGTTTTAGGTTTTGGGGTTTGTTTTAGACTATAGCTACATACACTAACGCTCTCAAGGTATTTCTTCGTCTTCCTATCCCTGTCCCGCTCCAACTGTTAGTAAGTTGAGAAAGCACTGGCCTGCATCCCACAGGTTTTCCCCATATTTTCTAAGCATTACTGTAACCAGGAAAACAAGCACATTTGCTACATCGGCACATTTTTACACTTCTGCATGTATGTATAAAATATGCCTGTGTATTTAAGAGAACATGGCACTAATCCACTCACTACTTCCTCTCAAAGATTCATGTCAAACAGTCCAATAACATATCTCCCATCTGTGCATTTCTTACTTCACACATCAATAAGAGAAACTTCAATTTGAAGCAATGCTGTTAAAATAGTTCATCTCTTATTACCAACCTCACTTGCACTGTAAAGTCAACATTCCTGTGCAACAAAAAAGAAAAAAATTTGTCTCAGACTATTTTATCGGCAATGGTCGTTTTTTTCATCTAGACGAATTCTCTTTTTACAGCCAAGGAGGCTTTTGGTATCATTCTGAATCTCAATGGCTATTTTAAGTGTTTAACCCGAAGTGGAACAAAATTGAATCTTACTGAATTAAAAAAAAAAAAAATTATATGTATGAATCATAGTGACACGCAGGAAACGAACTATAATAATCTTGAAAACCAAAAGTGGGGGGCTTAGTACACTGTAATATTACCACCTTTTAAAGAAGTAATCAACTACTTGGTGTACAAGAATAGACACTCTTAAGGTGACTGGTGAGAATGACCCCAGCTTTACAACAGGGAACTTTGAAACTTGTTAAAATTTCACAGCAATTTGAATTCCTGTAAGGTTTAAAAAGAATTGTACTTAAACTATTTAAATACGACTTATCTGTTGGAAAATATGGAAGTAACATTTACATTTCAAGCACCATTAGCTACTTCATGGCCATGTAACATGCTGGATCTTCTTCTTTGCTTCCGTAGGCTTTAGGTCGTTCTGGAATACACGAAATAGAACATATAAGCATTCTTAGATGTGCAGCACAAGTAAAAGTTGGTAATTAACCCGCCACATTTAAATCCAGTAGACTATCGCTTTACTCAGCCGTATGCTACAACGGCTTACTACTGCCATCTTGTGGAGAAAGTTAAATATCACAGAACTTCTCTACAGAAGATAAAAATAAAGCCAATTGATTTAACTACCTGCAAATCATACATGTCTTTTGTTTTTTCTTAATCCTACAATTAGCTATGCAAAAATACATTTTAATTATGCAGCTTAGAAATAGGTACATAGTGGAGTTTCAAAACAGACCTCTGAACTTACTTCAGATAGCCCTCTCAAAAGACTCATTGAAATGGGATTGTGTAAGAAAAAAAACAAACATACAACCAGGAAACCAATTTACTTCTGTCAAATAGTAAAAACTTTAGAAAAAGAGAAGGAAGAGTAGGTCTTTGTTTGTAATGACGTGTACAGAAAAGTGAAATAATTGCCTCAGCTAAACTCCTCTTTGAAGCCCCACTGCAAGAAACGAGGCGGGGGTGTGGGGGGAAATCAAGCACTGAAGTGGTGAAATAATTACCTTTCACCATCTAAAATAAGAAAAAACTCTGAGAAACTAGAGCCTTAATAGTTCACACAAGCAGAGTAACCACCGGTATATGAGTTTTCAAGAACATTGTGCAACACACTGGCTTTGGGAGCACAATCTAGAGATCTCTTTCCTTTGTTTCAGTGTTGTTTATTCACAGCAACCCTGTGGATTGCAACCACTGAAAGGTTTAAGGGAATTAGACCCAAAGATCAGAGGGATAGTTCCGTGCTGTCCAGCATGAGAACTTCAGTTTTTCACCAAAGAACAGTTATTTGCTTAAAAAGGCAGTTGTCATTACGGTCATTATACTAAAAATGCATCCAGCTTTACACTGTACGGCCGACTGCCAAGTACACTGATTCTTCCTGGCTACGTCACTTGGTACTCCACGCTACGTTCTTTAACTTTAGACAGTAAAGTAACACCCATACAACACACTCCCCTAACCTCAAACGTGCCTGAGTGACACCAACCAAGGCGCCACTGAACGTACCAGTATTAACCTGAACAACGCAAATTCTGGCTAAGGCAGAAAGTCAAGTGTCAGAGGTCACAGCTTCTGAGCATCGGTTATACAGCACCACTTCAAAGCCTTCAGCACTGCGTCCACGTAACATTTAAACTAAATACAAAGCGGCGGTGAGGCATATGCTAAACAAGTTTCAAAAGCCACGTAGGTTCAGATCTGACCAATACTTGGAGGAGTTCTAAGTACTAAAACAAGTTAGTAACACTGGTAGTAGGAACCACACTTCTCCAGCAAAAAATGTGATTCAGGGCCTCAAGCCGTGGTTCTTACAGAAGTTGCTAAAGCTGTTTTTCAGAACAGCTACATGTTCAGTTGCTGATCAGAGAATTCTGATGGAACCTACCAATTTGAGCAGCAAGGATGCTACCTGCATTCCCTCATAAAAGGATGTTTTTAAAAAGGTATTAATAGAAAGCATTTCATGAGGCAATACTGAACACATAAAAGTTAGGTCTGGTGTCCTGGGAAGATTTTAATCAATGTAATTACATATCCAAAGCTCCCCCTGCAGTTCAACAGAGAACAGATATTTCTATTTCTTCCTTTGAAGCCCAAACTTACTCCTGTGGAAATGTGAAAATCCCTTCATTCGCATCATGAAGGAATACAACACAAATATAGGGCTTAGGCCTACCTCACAGCATGTTTCAAAGAGGAGACAGCCCATTGCTACTTGCTGACTGACAAGCCCTTGAAGGCTAATCACACCTTTGCCAAAAATAATCCCCGTTCTATCTCTCGCCCCAACTGGCAGCAACATTCAGCACCATTACCTACACTTCCAAAGCTATGCCCTGCTGAATTCATAGATCCTGCCTACGGTCTTGTCCCATCACTTCAGTTCATCGGCTTCATTCTGCCCCAGCTGTAGTATCATTCTCTTCCCCACAGAAAATTTGTTTGCAACAGAATCTAGCTTGCAGAATGTTATTGTATTGTATTTATTTGCTTTTGTATTTGCTATTGTATTTATTTGCCTTATATTGTATTGTATTTGCCGTTATGGTTAACAGCTCAGTCTCCTGCTTGAGAAGACCACCCTTCTGCTCTCAGCATGTCTTTCTCATCGTCTTATAGAAGCCCTGGTATCTGATTAAGATCACCATGGCTCAAAATGACCTTTGGCCTCTCACTTCAATTAGTGTGGTTTGCTGTTATGGCTTCTCATTCAGACCCACAATCTAGGCAGCTCTCCAGATTTTCACTCACATCCAGTTCCTTCCTCTAGCATGCCAATTCCTATGTGAGATTTAAAACAGATGGCATTCTTCCTCTACGGATATATCCTGTACTCTCAGCATCTCACTTCAGTTCCCGTAACATCTATTCCTCCACTATGACAAATCAAAGCTTGTCCTACTCAACCATTCAAGTGTGGTTGTTACAAATGTTATCATTCCATTCTTTTCTTCCATATTACTGAAAACAGACCACTTGGCCTTCCTTTAAGGCTGTTCACATTGTTCTATAACACCTGTTCTCTATCTCAGACCTACCAACAGGATTATTTTGTTTGCGCTGTGTTTGACTGCTACCAGCACCACCTTAAGTATTACCTACTTAAGTAATTTTTATGTTAGGTGCATGTTTTTTACAAAGCTGCTGCTCTCACACAGAACCTTCCCATAGACAAGTAAGAAGTACTTCATTTCCTTCCTTCTCATCTTTCCCAAACCAGATACTCTTCTGTCTGTTTCTAAATAAAAGACTACTATTACTCCAAAATAAAATAATCCTGAAAACTCTTACAAGGATCTACCTTTGGCTCCTGCAAGTTTCAATTAAAAAAAAAAAAAAGAAAGAAAAAAAAAGAAATATCTATGACGAGATACTGAACATACGTACCGGCAAATCAGATTCTTCTTTTGGAACAGCTCTCTTCAACTTCACGACAGTACTTCCTGCTACCGGAGACAAAGGGTACACCTTCAGACTAGCCAACACACTGCTGTTAGTCTTTGAAATACTGTTCTGCTTAGCCTCGCTACTCCTCGTTCCCAGCTTAGCGTCCTCTGATAAACTAGAGGCTGAAATGTATGTGGAGGCATTTGAAGGAACTGATAATCTTCTAACGGTGTTGGTGGTGTTTCCAGCTGGAGGAGGTTTTAGGCGATCAGCAGCCCCGTTCTCCGTCTTCTTCACCTTTATGCTTGTACTTGTTGAACTGCCATCAAATACGATTAATGGCCGTTTCCTTAAACCTTCCGCTGTTGTAACGCTGAAAATACAAATCGTAAAATTCTCAGAAACACAAGCTAAATGGTCCAAAAATACCATATCCAAGACTTGAGTAGTGAAAGTGAATTTCATCTTGACTGAAGTAAAAATACATCCCAAAATACTAACCTTAAGCCCTTAGATGCTCCAAACGCAGGCAACAGAAATAGCTTTCAAAATACAGAGGAGGGAGGGGGACAGGGGGTTGTATGAGGTACAATGTTCCTCGGCAGAGGGTTGCGTGAGGAACTTTCTAGGCAGACAATTACAGTCGTATCACCAAAGACTGTATGCTTATGCCACTATAGCTATTCCAGAGTAACTACAGAGATAGCAGCTCTCAAGTATTTCAAAAGGTGAATATTTGAGAAGTGTGTCAGCTTACCTATTAGAACAGCACCTACTATTCTGATGCTTCTAAACCTCCGTTTCCACTCTTGTTCAAAACAATAACGTTAAGATAGTCTAAGACTGTTAGACAAGGAATAAGAGTATTAAGCCAAAAAAAGCATACCTGTTTTTGAAGTTGTCTTTGAACAAGAGACCTACACTGATTTAATTATTATATATATATACACACATGTGTGTATATCTATGTATACATATATATATATACACACACAGTTTGTGCCTTTAAGCCTACGTGTAGTCAGAGGTGGGCAATTTAGTAACAACTGATTTATGAAAAAAAGGAGTACTATCAAACCAATATCAAACAGTAACATAGAAAACATCCTGACTGCCAAAAATAAAGCATAAAGTTATCATAGTACAGCCTACATTACTTTTGAGTTTTTAAAAAAAAACATTGCTCAAGAATGGCAGTAAGAAAGTGTTTGGAAAGCACAGATTTAACAAATAAAAAACCCAAACTGCCATTAAGTTATATAATATTCCTGTTTAGAAACTTCATTTTTCAGTACACAATTAATGTGTGTACTCACATTAAAGAGAGGCATACAAGTTGAACTACAGTGTTTTCAACAATGAAATACATTCATTAATTTTTAATTAATGAACTGTACAATATTGATATTAGGTATCTCAACAGACTTCATAATAAGCCGCGAGCAGAGACTCCATTCGTTTGTCTTGGAGCAACATTAGATTAGCAGCTGCTAATAAGGCTCACATATTAAGAGATTATACATCGCTCGCTCAATTTCTGTCCAGTCCAGGGTCTTCTTAAAAAAAAAAAAAAAAAATAAATTAAAGGTGTCACAATTCAAGAGCTCATAGAGCAAGAGAAAGTTCAGCTCTTATTCAGATTTGCTTCTATGTAACTATGTGTTCACAGCAACATATGTCACATAATCCTCCTCTTTTTCTATCCATGGGGTTCCCAGAACTGATAGAGACAAAGAGACCCTTTGATTCATTTGGGAATTGTTCGCCAAGAGATCTGACAAAACTCTTTGGCTTATATCTACACTAGATGCTGTTTCTAGGAGAGCTTCTACAAAATAAGATTAGCTTCCAAGACCACAAGTGTGCAGCCAGGCATGTTGTTTCAGTTAAATACTACTGAAACAACAGCATTATTTAACACATCCATTAAACTGAGGAGTATAATTTCACTTGAAATGTCTAAAAATCTGACACACACCTCAAAAATAAAACATGATACTTTTTGCTCACTTGGGCTTTGTCCAAGAATTTATTCAACACTCCTGACACGGAACATATTCCTCAGCAACCTTTCTGGAAAGTTAGTTTGCAAACTATGTGAAAGAAAAAAATTTTAGACCTTTTTTCAGTCACCCTCCTGAACATAAGAAGTCTGTTTTTTCCTACACAGATTTTTTTTTTTTTTTAATTCAGCTTGGTGAGGACTGGAAAGTCAGGAAATAACTGCAACTCTAGGAGGATTTTTATCTATTCTAATCCAAAATCTAGAACTCTAGCACTTGTACAAATGACCACATGCTATAACGCTGATAACATTCCCAGAGGAACACTTTGGGAAAGTTCCCAAAGAAATCTGGATGCTGCACCATCAAGAACGGCCACATCTAATTTTTAGATACATGGATCGCAGAGGAACACAGAACCCTGGGTGTGACATTCACTTTCTGTATATAAACGACAGGTAACTTAAAAGCTTCAAATGTAAGAGCTTCAGAGCAGGACTCAGGTTAGGCAGCACCCTTCCGAGGGAGGGCACCGACCCTAGCTAACCGCTGAGAAGAACCATTTGGGGATTGCATCCCCCCCCTGCAGGATACTCTCTCTGAAGCCTAGATTTAAATGCGCACCTCTGGCATATTGCAGAAATGTTCTAGCCACACTTTGCACAGGGCTGCACAGAGGGTAAGCTGCAACCCTGCTGTTTACTTTGTAGCACATGGTAAAGAATTCCGGATGTCAGAGGAAGCAAAAATTTCTCTACAGGAGCAATCTGGGTTTCCACTGTTACACGTGATTACTCATGTAGTCAGGATGGTCTCTGAGCAACTCCCTGATGATGAGGACAGTTTAATTAAAGGGCTCCTATTCTCGGTCTATCTTAGCCTGGTACCTAAGGCACCACCCTAAAACCAGAGAGAAGTGTAGGTTTTAGCTCCCACACCCTGAATATCCTAAATACAGAGAGGTGATCACCCCTCTGTGAATGTCTGAAACCAGTCAGAAGTACCATGTTTTACACTGAACTCAGTATTACCAGCGCCTTAGCTGTTCTCCGAGGATGCTGAAGCAGCCTCCCAGGTGACTAAGGAGAAATCACGAGCTCTACCGAGAGCAAAGCTGAGCCACAGAGCTCCTGAAGACAGAGAGAAATCAGGAGCTCTACCGAGGCCACAGCTGAGCACACACAGCCACAGAGCTCCTGAAGACAGAGAGTTTGCAGGCAAGTCTTCAACTCGACGGTACTTCATACTACATATGCATTTTGAGATTCATCCCAACACCTTTCTTCCAGCAGGCAAGATGATCTTACAGATCTAGAAAATTAACCATTTCTGAACACAAATACTTCCTGAAATGTTTGACGCTGGATAGACTGGATTTGTTTTTATTTGGTATGTTTGTCTGCAAGCTCAAATATTCAGTAGTAAGATGCATAAACCACCACCTGTGACCTCAGATATTTGGTTGCAGTACTGACGTATAACAGGTTACTGCAGCTCAGCTGATATACAGCAAGTCTTTTAGGACATGCCATCAGTCACCAGCAGTAAAACTAAACACGACATTCAACAATGCCTTAAATTTAATTGTGTTTTTACCTCCTATCTGTAATTACTAGAGGCATAAAACACACGCTGAGCTGTGCTGATCAAGCCTCCAAGCCTCGTATTAATTCCAGCACACACTGTAAAGCTGTGCTTCCCACAGAAGGACTCATCAGAAAGCTCCCGTTGGTCACGATCAATCCGTTTATCTGACTTCTACACAACTAGCTCAGTTCCCCTCTCTCACTTGCACATAACTTACAGCCTCACCATACCCAGGAATTTTGTTTTCTTTTTTAAAAAACAAGAATGCCAAGTTCTACTTTAAACGGCATCATGCTGGTTCTGCTTAAGTGGTGCACATGACTATGAGGAAAAGTGTAGTCTCTTAACATCCAAAAAGATGACGGAACTTCCTTGATTCTTCCCAACAATATACTAAAACTGAAGTTTTCTCTGTGCAACTTTTACTTACTGAAAGTGCTGAAAGTCTCCAATTTCCCTGGAATTTGTAATATTAGCAGCCAACGATTAACTTTTCTAGACGGTATTTTGCCAGCATATTTAAGTATGAAAGACATAATACAAGCAAAACCAGTAACTGCTGGAAAATTTTAAAACTGTGTAACAACAGAACAAAAGACTAAGTATGCTAGATGTTAAGTGCTAAGAGCAACTGATAAAGAAAAGCAGGCTAGTAGATTACACATATCTACTTTTACCTACTATTTTCCCAGCAAATAGCACATGGGTTTAACCATTATTGAATTTTAGTGTGCCAAAGTAAGAGTACATATAAACTCTGGATGAAGCCATTCTCTCATTTAAAAATTAACATTGCCTTCTTCTCTCAAAACCATCCAGCCTGCTATCCTTATTTCTTTGATAAGAAAAATTCTTTTGCAATCACTTCAGCATGACAATGGTTTCTTATTATTCAAACACTAACCTCATGCTTTCATCCTCAAGTTGCAAGCTGCAAACAAACGGAGGTACTATAACCTTTTATGCACGTAAAAGGACCTAACAAGATATCTCAGTGTCAGCCACTGCTAAAAAAGAAAAAAATTAAGAAAAAAAAAAAGAAATCACTTGGCAGAATTTGTTTAGCTCTTCCCAGTTAGAAACCTCACTAAAGCTAAAACAAACACACTCATGAAATCAACAAGCTATAAGGAGAATTTCCATCCACCTTTCCTTCAGCATTTACAGCCGACGCTAAATAAGAACACTGCCCCTGCACATCACACATCGAAGTCTTGGGCAGGGGGAAAGCTGGAAAGAGGAGACATAAGGTAAAAAACTTTTGAGGAAGGTTTTGCTTGTGATCAAATACAAACAGAAAGGTTTTAAAACCAAAGCAGAACGATTCTTGCAGAAAGTAGATGTTAGTTTTACACTGGACACACAAAACTGCTGTAGCATACGCCCCTTAGTCTAGAGTAGAATGACCCTGTCCAGGGAGCACGCGTAATTAAACATGCTTTTGGTGCTTTTCATAAACACTGTAAATACGATTATTATTTAACAATTACAAGGGGAAAAAAAAAAATAACTGCTTTTTCTTCATTATAAATTATCTTGAAATGTACCAATAAGCCAGTAAGGGCGCAAAGGGATTGAGAGCATCCCTGCAAAGAAGGACCTGGGGGTACCAGTGAATGAAAAGCTGGACAGGACCCAGAATTGTACGCTTGCAGTCCAGAAAGTCAACCGTATCCTGGGCTGCATCAAAAGAAGAGTGGCCAGCAGGTCGAGGGAGGGGATTCTCCTCCTCTAGTCTGCTCTGGTGAGACCCCACCTGCAGTGCTGTGTCCAGCTCTGAGGCCCCCAACATATGAAGGATATGGACCAGTTGGAGTGAGTCCAGAGGAGGCCATGAAGATGCTCAGAGGGCTGGAGCACCTCTGCTATGGGGACAGGCTGAGAGAGTTGGGGGTTGTTCAGCCCGGAGAAGTCTCCCCTGGCTCCGGGGAGACTTTCTTGCAGCCTTTCATGACTTAAAAGGGGGCTTATAAGAAAGATGGGGACAGAAAGTTTAGTAGGTCCTGTAGTGATAGGACAAGGTACAGTGGTTTTAAACCAAAGGAGGGTAGATTCAGACTAGATAGAAGGAAGAAATTTTTTATGATGAGGGGGATGAGCCACTGGAACAGGTTGCCCAGAGGAGCTGTGGATGCCCCATCCCTGGAAGTGTTCAAGGCCAGGCTGGATGAGGCTTTGAGCAACCTGACCTAGTGGAAGGTGTCCCTGCCCATGGCAGAGGGGTTGGAACTAGATGGTCTTTAAGGTCCCTTCCAACCCAAACCGTTCTGTAATTCTATGAAAAGCAGCACTATAAGCTAGGCAACATTAATAGCACTTGAATGACCAAAAAAAGACTATCTTTCCCTTTTTCCTATTATTGCAGTAGTAAAATCTGACACGGCATTATCTGTGAAATGTAACAATGTCCAAAAGCTATACAAGTTTCATTAATCAAGCAAACAAGGATTAAATTAAATGCCTTGTCCTAAATTCTCCAAGTCTAGCCTAATAAAAGCCATTTTACCTTTTATTCTCACTTTTGAACTCATTTTGCTGCCTTTTCTTTTCCATCATTTTCCCCCATCTACTTTTTGGTAGGTCACGCTGAGGCAGGGGAATGGCATGTTGAATATAGAGATCAGTGAGACCATCTTTGTCCATCTTTACATCATTTTCGACCAGTATATTCTTCTGTGGGGAACAGAAAAAAAGCTGTTGTTATATGACAAGTTCAAAGCACAAGCATCTTAGTGGCACAATTTCTCTTTTAAAAAGCCACTTTATGGTAGTGTATTGGGCATAAACGCCAGGGTTTCAGAAGTGAGGGGGTTGCAGGCGTGACCAGTGGGAAGAGGCCACGAACTGCCCTGTGCCAATGACAGCCTGGTCTCCTGCCTGTCCACTGTCCGCTTCCCTTGTTTTCTGTGAGGATTACACTCAGTGAGGCAATGGGAAACGCAGGATGCTTGGGCCAGTGCATAGTGGTTTCTTTATCCACTACCTGCAAATGCATCTCTTCACATATCTCCTCCTCCTGTGCCCCTTCCTGTACATGCTTTTGTGTCTCCTGCCCTGGCGGCTGCCGCTCATTAAGTGCATTTGAGCACAAGTGCCAGTGAGTTCCTCTGCTTGAAATTTTGGAGTGTGATGGGTTGTTTTCATCAGTGTCAGAGGCAGCTGGATCCAGCTGCAGCCAGCACTGGGCACTTCATCAACTTTGCCCACACAGGTCAACCCCACAGCCCCTCCCTATCCAAAACCCTCCAACCTTTCTCCAGTAAAAATAGCAGCGAGGGGGGGGAGGAGGGAAGGAGAATTTATGACAGACATACTGTTGATGACTGATGTTTTCATGCACTCTTAAACACCCCCCTCCAAATGCAACTACAATACCACAGGTTGTCTTTGCATTTCTAAAAAACTGGCAACTAGAACACTACACAATACAAATTTATAGATGTAGGGCCGTGCTTCCTCCCCCAGTTCCCAAAGACGAGTTGCAAACAGACATTTCTAGTAAATGTCAGCCATAACAAAACACACCAGTTTTCTTCCTAATCATGTATAGGGTTGTGAAAACAAAACTTCCTGGTACCTCCTGCCAAATTTATTAAAAGAGGAAAAAACCCACTAACTTCCTGCAAATTAGAGATCACGGAAAGCAGGGTCAACTCTCTGCCACTACAGGTTTTGGCAACACTTCGTGACTTCTGATGTGGGCCTAAAACCTGTACATTTTTGTCCACATAAACTACACACACAAGACCATACAAAAATTCAGCGAGCTCATAAAAAAAACCCTAAAAATCTGATTTCTGTTGTTTCATGCACCTAGAATTTTCAGGCAAGGCAGCAACAAGTATTCCAAATCACACAGGCTGAAGCTTCAAACAAAAAACTGCGTGCAACTCGCTTTCAAACTCAAGAGTTTTTCAACTACGCACATTAAGCATTAGCCTGAATTATTACGTAGGACGTATTTCTTCAATTCACTGGGTATGAACGTGGCAGCTTCAAGAGAGTGAAGACCAGCTTTCCACAGATAACTTCACCGTACGCAAACAGTGTCTCGTGGACGTGCCGACGTGGGTAAATCATTCGCAGCAGCTATGGCGGCAGTACACAAACACCGCTCTTTGCCAGCCCCAGAGACATCTGTCACGCTACAGCCCGCCCCTAAGCAGGTACCTACCCTACAGCGTATCGACCTGGGGTTTGCGGGGGTTTGGTTTGCCCCCGAGTGCCGAGTCTCTGAAGCGCCCATGAAGGGAAACGGCAGGAGGACGTGGGAACAAGCTTCCCGCGCGGGTGGCGTGGGGATGGGGAGTCCCCTTGCAGGCTAAAGCGGAGGAACAAGCAGGGCGG